AGGGGCCAGGGCAGCCAGAGGGGTTTTGTTGAGGGGCCCTGACAGGCAGCACCCAGCGCAGTGGGTTAGAACCTCCTGATACAGCAAGGTTGTGAGTTGGATCCCTGGTCAGGGCACAGACAAGAAACAACCAAAGAGAACATAATAAGTGGAACAACACACTGGTGTTTCTCTCGCTCCCTTCCTCTCTCTGAAATAATCAATCAATAAAAATTAAAATAAAAAATAAACCCTCTGGCTTGCAGAGTTGCTAAAACAGTTAGAAAGCGAAGTCCCATCCCTTCCAGTTCATTCAACAAATACTTCATGTGCTCCTTCAATAATCACACTGGGGATGGGTGTTTGTTTGTTTGCTTATTTGTTTGTTTTGGTTAATCTTCACCTGAGGACATTTTTGCATTAATTTTTTTTTTTTTTTTACAGAGAGTGGAAGGGAGGGAGAAAGACAGAAACTAATGTGAGAGACATCAATTGGTTGCCTCTTGCTGAATCCCTAACCAGGGCCCCAGGTTGAGCCTACAATCCAGGTACCTGCCCTTGATTAGAATCCAATCTGGTACCCTTCAGTCCGCCTGCAGAAGCACTATCCACTGAACCGAACCAGCATTTTTTTTCTTTTTAAGTCCTCCTCTAAGGATTTTTTTTTTTCATTGATTCTAGAGAGAGAGGAAAGGAAAGGGAAAGAGAAAGAGAAACATCGATCAGTTGCCCAAGCAATCCAACAGGGATGGAACCCACAACCTGTGTATGTGCCCTCACCTGGAATCGAACCCATGACCCTTTGGTGCATGAGAGGACACTCTTAACTACTGATCCACATAGACCAGGGCCTGGAGGTACATTAAAACATTTTTTTTTTCAGATCTGCCCTGGCCAGGTGGCTCAAATTGGTTGGAGTCTCAACCTGTACACCAAAGGATTTCCTGTGGGATTCTAGGTTAGGGCACATACTTAGGTTAGATCCCAGTGGGTCAGCAGGTGCAAAGGCAGCCTATGGTATTTCTCTGTCACATGTATGTTTCTCTCTCTAAAAACCAACTTTAAAAACATCCTCAGGTGAGAATTAAATATATATATATTACAAAATTTTCAGATCTAAAATTTTATTTGGTTCTTTTTTAAATTTTATTTTTCATTTGCAGTTCACATTCAATATCCTATCCTATATAATAAAACCCTAATATGCAAATTGACCGAATGGTGGATGACTAGTCGCTATGAAATCACCACCAGGGGGCAGATGCTCAAGGTAGTAGCTGCCTCCTAGTGGTCAGTGTGCTCCCACAGGGGGAGTGCTGCTCAGCCAGAAGCTGGGCTCACCACTGGCCAGTGCAGCCGTGGTGGCGGGAGCGAGCAGTAGGGAGCAGCAAGCAGGTGGGCGGTAAGGAGTGAGGGGTCCTGGACTGCGAGAGGGCACAGGCCGGGCTGAGGGACACACACCCCCCCCAACCCCCAGTGCACAAATTTTGTGCACTGGGCCTCTAGTATGTGTGTGTATATATATATGAAGTCTGCTTTAAATTGTTTAGTTTCCTTCTACTCCAAGAGAACCTCTGGCCTCCATGGGTGATGATCTATTTATGCTCACTTCACAGAATTGTTTGCCAGCTCCATTACTGGATGTCCCCATAGCTATACTGGTAGCTGTGCGCTCAGAATGACCACAATCTTCCTCTGAGTAGATTTGTGTGTTCCAGGTACAAGGCCTCAGTCTGTTACAGCATCCCAAGTACCGCATGGCTCGTGCTTCCAAAGTAAGGGCTTAATGTGGTCACGAGGGACCATGCAAGGGCACATCTCTGCTGTTTTCAAGAAATCTTACACAGGAAATGCTGCTAAAGTGTTATTGAAGAAGATGAATTGCTAACTAAAACAAAGCAAATCTGTTTTCCTGGCCAAGAAGAGAATTGTTTTTAAAGGAATCTACTTTCATAATAATAACCAGTAACTGTTAGCTAGCACTTGCTGTGTGAGAGGAATTTCATACACTTTTAATTCTCACAACAATCTCATGTGATAGGTATTATTACCTCCAATATACAATGTGGGCACAAAGAGGCTAATTGACTTGCCCACAGTCCTATAGCTAAAAAGTTGCATAATAGATTTGAACCTAGGACAGATTCACTCCAAAGTATATATTTCTTTACCCCTACATCATTTCTCATGCCTTGGTGCTTTTTTTCCTTTTTCCCACCACAACATCGCTTTCTTTCTTTTTTTAAAAAAATTGTTTTTAGACATATTTTTATTGATTTCAGAGAGGAAGGAGGAGGGAAAGAGAGATAGAAATATCAATGATGAAAGAGAATCATGGATCGGCTGCCTCCTGCACACCCCTACTGGGGATCAAGCTTGCAACCCAGGCATGTACCCTGACCTGGAATTGAAGAGTGACCTCCTGGTTCATAGGTTGACACTCATCCATTGAGTCACACCAGTTGGGCAACATCGTTTTCTTAACTTCTCAGCCAGCTTCTCCGATTGTGAGTCTTAGCATTTTAACGAAGGGCTCTCTGGGCTCTTGCAAAGCAACAGCATCTTGTCTCCTGAGAAAAGTTAAGTCAAAACACATGCATGTGACCTGTGAGTATATAATTTGGTAATTATTCTCCCAAAGATTTAACACTGGCTCCAGAATTTTAACCAGGAATGGAGATGATATAAAGACCTTAAGTAGCTACTCAAGGTCATGGTAAACCCAGAAACCTACCAACCCTGCCCCCCTGGCTAAATATATAAATAATGTTCAGTAGTCTCTCCTCATTCCTGCCTTTGCTATATGGAATTCAAATATTTCATCCTCATCATTTTATTCCTATTCTGACAAATATACATAGCTGATATGATCTTGTACAGCCTGGATCCACCTACCTAATAAGGTGATTGGAACCCAGGAAGCATTTAGTAAATATTGCTTTGAATGAAGAAATGAATTAATGAACATTTTCTCCCTTCTGTAACAATAATAAATATGATATCTGGTACTTGTGTATGTCAGGCTCTATGCTAACCTCTTTATATGCACTGTCTTATTGTATACTCATACAACTCTCTAAGTAGATATTATTATTATTACGATGGGTCTCTCACTAATCCCATTACCTCCCAAATGCTCCACCTCCTAATTTTACCTTTGATACTGTGACTTAGAAAGGTTAAACTTGCTCAAGTTCACATAGGGAGCCACCATTCTAACATCAAAACCACATCTGATTTCAGACCCAGTTTTCTTTAAAAAAAAAAAAAAAAAAGCAATGTTTTCTTTAATCATGTGTACAAATGACTAATGTAGTTGGTAGAGTTTTATTTATTTTTTAAATATATTTTATTGATTTTTTTTACAGAGAGGAAGGGAGAGGGATAGAGTGTTAGAAACATCGATCAGCTGCCTCCTGCACACCTCCCACTGGGGATGTGCTCGAAACCAGGGTACATGCCCTTGACTGGAATCGAACCTGGGACCTTTCAGTCCACAGGCTGACGCTCTATCCACTGAGCCAAACCAGTCAGGGCATGACATCCAGTTTTCTTAATCACTACATTCTACAACTTCCCTTCTATTTTTATTAAAAATAATTATCACTGCTTCTATGCATGAAATCATTTAATTTATGAAACATTATTTGGAGAAGCACTTGATTTACAATGCCGAACTAGCTAGCATATACCCAAACACTGAACAAAACGCCTCAGATCTCTTTCAACCTGAGCTAGAAGGAAGTGGCTCTCTTACAGATTTAACACATGTAAGTTTCAAAAGGAATGAAAAAGGTCTCTTAGTGGGTACAGCCTAGAAAAGCCAGATGTGATCAAGGTGTCTCCAAAGGATGATTTCAACAGCCCTGTTGTATTCAGGAATATATTTTTTCAATCAAAATTCAGCACATATAGCCGTGGCCGGTGTGGCTCAGTTGGTTGGAATGTCCACCCATACACCAAAAGGTGGCAGGTTTGATTTCTAGTCAGGGCCCATACCTAGATTGCAGATTCCATCTCCTATTGGGGCGCCTACAGGAGGCAAAAAATAGATGTTTCTCACATCGATGTTTCTCTCTCTTCCTCTCTCTTAAATCAATTTAAAAAGAAAACACATATCCTCAGGTGAGGACTATAAAGCAAAAAAAAATATGCACACATCAAAAAAACAAAAAAACACAAGAAAACAACAACCCAGCAGAACATGGCTTAAAAAGTGGGTTGTAAGATTAAAAAAAAAAAAAAATAGAGGTATACACTACATATAATCTTATATGTAGTCGTTAAATGTATGCTAGATTATTTTTTATATTTTTATTGACTTCAGAGAGGAAGGGAGAGGGAGAGATAGAAACATCAATAATGAGAATCATTGAGCTGCCTCCTGCACGCACCACATAGGAAATGGGAGCCTGCAACCCCAGCATGTGCCCTGACAGGGAATCCAACCTTGACCTCCTGATTCATAGGTTGAAGCTCAACCACTGAGCCAAGCTGGCTGGGCTATGCTAGGTGATTTTTTACATAGGACTACACCCCTGTAACTCCACCCAGACCAGTGTGGAATATTTTCAGCACCCCAAAAGGTTCCTGGTACCAGAGTGATCAACAAAGAAAAAAAACACACACTTAAATCAGAACAGAGAGCCATAAAGCAAGCCAAGAAACTTTGAAAGCTGGGCAGGGAACGGCCGAATTTGGAAGAGGGTGTTAAGTAAGAATTAGACAAACCCGACTTTTATCTTCTCTTAGCGGTGGGTGTAGGGTGCTGTGCATTCACATTGTGTCCCTAGATGATGTTCACTATGACTCTGCGACATAGTAAAGATTTAACCCTCTTTTGCACGTGATGAAAAAGAAAATTGTTTACGGTTTCTGAGGATAACATCCCCACACCAAGCAGGAGAGAAAGAGAACTGGATCTCTTGAATTTGCGCAGCAGATCCAGCCACGTGGCAAAAGGAACGCAGGTGGAGGGCGAGGGAGGGAGGCCTGGAATCAAGTTACCGAGCAACGTCGCTCCGGCCCGCCCATTGGCGGGCGCAAGAGGCCCGGCTTATAAAGGCTCCGGCCGGCTGTCCCTGGACTGCTCTACTGTATCACCCCGCCACGCGCCCTTTGAGTTTCGCGCAGGCTGCGCGCTCCTGAGCCCCTCCTGGTAAGTGCCCCAGTCAGAATGGTGCGAGATCCATCTGGCATTGGACCTCAGGTACATTCGGTGGGACCCAAAGCTTTGCTTTAACTCCCCGGGACTCTTCTAGAGCTCTTTGCCCCTAAAAAGGGAGACCAAGCTGAGTGTCCTGGAGGGGGGGTAATTATTTCAATAATTAGAACTAGAGCAATAATCCAAGGATTCAGGAAATGATTGCACAAGCATCAAGGACAGCGTGAGACCAACATTTGATAGTCTCTGCCTTAGGCCAGCTAAGGCGGATCGGATTAAAGCAATAAGCCCCGAAATGTTCATGACTACTGAACGGAGACTGGACAAATGAAGAACTATTGTCACGGTCACCAAAACATAATTTGCAATAGCAGCGGGGAGCGGGAGGGGACAGTTTGCCTAGTCCCGAAGGAGGGAGGAGAAGGCACCCCAAAAGTAGAAGAAAGGAGAGAGGAATTGCTGTGCCCTGCGGGGCTCACTCTGACAATCCGTGTGCGCTTGTGCGTTGCAGGCTGACCAGCTCCAGCAGAGGGTGGCCCAGATCCCGCACCTGCCTCCTGATGTGGTGCCTGGAGCGGCTCGGCTTAGGTCCCGAGTGCCTCCTACGGGGCGGGAACGGACGTCTCCAGGGTCGGGCCAGACGAACCACTGCCAACGCGCCCGCCAAGTGTGCAAACGTGCTCACCCCAGACCGCATCCCAGATTTCTGCATCCCCCCGCGATTCGCGCCCTGCCCCGTGCTGGCTGCACACCGGGACTCCTGGGTTAAAAAAGCAGGAACTGACGCCGCCGCGGGGCGCACGGACTGGGACCCGCGCTCGCAGGCCGCGCTCTCGCTGCCTCACCTGCCCCGCGCGCGCACCACCTACGGCTTCTGCGCGCTGCTCGAGAGCCCGCACACCCGCCGCAAGGAGTCGCTCTTCCTCGGGGGCCCCGGGGCCGCCGCGCTCCTGCAGCCGCCCGTGCTCCGCCCGCGGGCCCACACCTACGGCGGCGGCGGAGACGCCCCCCTCTGGTCCCGTGGTGTCCGCTTCACCGCACCCGCGGCATCCGGCGGCTCCCGCCCGCCCCGGAACACGTTCGCCCTGCGGCCCCGCGGCCACCGCCTCCTGCGCGCCCCCGAAGGGCTGCTGAGCCGCGCGCTGCAGGCCCGGAGGAGTCGCGGCCTGGCCCGCGCCCGCTCGGTGTCCAGCGGGGACCTGGACGAGGAACGCCGCGCCAGCTCGGGGTCCCCGGCCCGGACCTGCTCCGCGTCCCCTCCGTCGGACGCCGGCCCGCGGCCCGAGCTCCTGGAGGCCGAGGGCACCGTGGCTCTGGGTCGCGCCGGCGGCGCCCTGCGCCTGGCCGCCGAGTACAGTCCGGCCAGCGGGCGCCTCCGCCTCCGGCTGCTCCGCCCCGAGGACCCGGCCGGAGCAGCCTCCGATCCCTGCGCCGTGGGCTGCCGCGTCAGCCTGGTCCTGCCGCCGCCCGGCAAGACGCGCCAGCAGCGCAGCGCCGTGGTCCGGCGGAGCCGCAAGGCCGTCTTCGACCAGGACTTCTGCTTCGAGGGGCTGTCGGAGGACGAGGTGCGCCGCCTGGCCGTGCGCGTCAAGGCCGAGGACAAGGGCCGCGGCCTGAAGCGGGGCCGCCTGCTGGGCCAGGGCGAGCTGCTGCTGGGCTCCCTGCTGCTGCTCTGAGGGCGCCCGGGCCTCAGGCCCTGCCCGCGGGCGCTTGCTGCCCGCTGGGGACTCTAGGACACTTCACAGCCGTTTTGTACAAAATAAACGTGTATTTATTCTTCTACTGAAGCCTTTGTTTAAGTCCAATATGGGCAGAGATGATAGTGGCTTAATTATCACAGTAAAGGATGTGATATTTTGTGTGGATACCTTCAAAATTCATTTTAGCCAGTGGTATGGTGTTCTGCAGTAGGGTTTCCCAATGCAGACCGCAGATGCATTGCATTTCATTTGTCCAACACAGTAATATTGGGAGATAATGAATTACATGAAGTATTAAAACTAGAGGCTGTTTTGGTGATCTATTTGCTCCATTCTCTTCATTTTACAGTTTGTTCATTCCACAACATCCACTGAAACCATCTTAGAGGATTCATTACTTTTGAAGCATTGCTTAAGACCCTGGATAAGAAAATGAGGCCGAGAGAGGTGAAGTGGCTTGCCCAAAGTCAACAGAGAATTATTAGGCATTCCAAGGTGATACCCTTGGCAACATCTTGCTGGAAAAGCACTGGAGGAATTAAAACCGTTTTCATACTCTAAGCTTAAATACTATAATAGCTATAGAAGTATTGACTCATAATTCTTAAAACCACCCTTACGAAGCCAACATTGTAATCTCACTTCACAGGTGAGGATATTGAGGCACAGAATAAAGAGCAAGTCAGGATTTACACCTGAGTAAATGTTGTACTCATTACTCTCCGTAAGTAATACCACAGTGTCTCAATGGCTTATCTCACTAATGTTGTGAGAATGCGGCTTATATCTAAAATTGTGGACTCTGAGGTGGGTCTCCTCACATTCCTCACCCTCTAGTGCCCTGGTTCTCACCCTGTGGGTCGCGACCCTTTGGGGGTCGAATGACCCTTTCACAGGGGTTGCCTAAGACCATCGGAAAACACATATATAATTACATATTGTTTTTGTGATTAATCACTATGCTTTAATTATGTTCAATTTGTAACAATGAAAACACATCCTGCATATCAGATATTTACATTATGATTCATCACAGTAGCAAAATTACAGTTATGAATTAGCAACGAAAATAATTTTATTGTTGGGGGTCACCACAACATGAGGAACTGTATTAAAGGGTCACGGCATTAGGAAGGTTGAGAACCACTGCTCTAGTGGGAAACCAAATCAGTTAAATGAGTAATTTATCTCAAGCTAATGACTTCAGGCATTGAGATGAGCTGAGTCCAAGACTCTAGCAGCGGTTCTCAACCTGTGGGTTGCGACCCCTTTGGCGGTCGAACGACCCTTTCATAGGGGTCGCCTAAGACCATCCTGCATATCAGATATTTACATTATGATTCATAACAGTAGCAACATCACAGTTATGAAGTAGCAACGAAAATAATTTTATGGTTGGGTCACAACATGAGGAACTGTATTTAAAGGGCCAGAAGGTTGAGAACCACTGCAAAGAGAAAGCTAACTGGCCTCCAAAGAGAAAGGGATGCCAGCCACAATGGCACCATGTATGCTAATGTGTCAAGGCAGGGAGTCAAGAGTGTATCTATAACATTGTCCTACCTCTGGCTTTTGATAATAATAACTAGAGGCCTGGTGCACGAATTCATGCACCAGTGGGGTCCCTCGGCCTGGCCAGTGATCGGGGCTGATCAGTTTGGGAGGGGGAGGGAGGGACCACATGAGGTTGGTCACAGCAGCAAGCTTACCAACGGCCGAGTCCACGAGGAATCGGGCTCCCTCCTCCCTCCTGTCTGGGTCCGGGGTGCGGGTGAACCAGATTCAGGGCTGAAAGGGCCGCAGCAGCAAGGTCTGGGTCAGTGTGTGTCATAGCTACCTGCCTGCGGTCCAGTTTTCTGGTTGTTCTGGTCATTCAGTTGTAAGGACACTTAAGCTTTTCTATATATAGATAGGTTTATTATGTTTAAAGAATGATTTTTCTCCATCTGTCACATTCACGGCCAATCAGGCATATTTCTTCTTTCTTGTGCATATAGGAGGAAAACGTGCCTTCAGTGAGGGTTGAAAATATTTAAATATGTGGTGTGGTGTTAAATATAACAACATTATCAGTCTTGATTCAGAAATGGTTTCTGCTTTCATTAAACTGTTGACAGTTTTAGTCATTGATGCTCATGAAAAATGCTGTTTAGAAAAGTTTCCATTTCAGTCACAACTCTAGTATAAAATGAAAATGGATTATTGTGATGGGTATTTATAATGACAGTCATTAAATAAATGTGAAGAATAAGTGCGAATTCATTAACTGTCAAAATCAACCACATCCAGAAACAAGAAGTGGTTTACCAAATGAATGATGACATAACAGTAGTTCAGATCTATCATGTGCTCTTCTATCTACTCTAAGTCACCATTTTTAGGCCTTCAAGGCAACAATTATTTTTTAAAATGATTAACCTTCATGATTTTAGAACTTGTACCTAATACTGACTTCACATATATAGTATTTAAAAGGAAAATTAATGGAGAGTGAAAACCATTTGGCTAATACAAGATTAGTGTGGGGTTTTATTTTTCTTGGTGTGTTTTTTTTCCCAAATAAAAACAGAGCACTTTGATGGCTTAAATAGTAAAATATTACTCCAGAAAACATTGCAATCACTATTGTCACTAGATTATATATTAGTAATAGTTTGGGAGCAGAAGTGTCATTTTATTAAGAAGGTAAATCAATGCATTTCAGAAATCTAAATTTCCATGAAATAATAGTGGGCTTTTCCAGATTTCCACCAATGTCAAGTTACGGTTGGTCAAATAATGTGAAAATCTAATCAAAATAATTTTAAAGTGACTGACATATAATCAGAAATCACAAAACCAGCAGTTTTAAAGTTGAAAGAAGAGTAAGAATCATTTTGTGCAAATCCATGTAAAATAGAAAAGGACCAGAGAGGCAAATTGTAGATATTTTGCTCTTCAACCTTGGATCACTAGTTCCAAAAAAGGAGAAACATTTGCACATAATTTATTTTACATCACTGAACTGATCTGAATTTTTTTGCATTTCAGAAATCGTATTTGCATCAAATTTTTTATGGTAACATCAGCCTTTTGGGGGACAATTTTAAATTTGGTTTATGCTTTGCTGCCCTCTACTGGATCCTTCATGTGTTTCATAGGGGGGTCTGTCTCAGTATTATTAGACCATCTCAACTGAATATAAAGACGGATCTAATGTCAGAACCCAACGACCTTGAAGATGTGTGCTAACACAAGATGACAATGGAGATTCACATCGCAAAATAACAAGTGTCCTTGTTTTTGTCTGGTCTGTGCTTTGAGGTTTCTCTAAGGATTCCTTCTCAGATAGAGGATCTGCCTTGCAGCTTTTCCAGCCTTTGTCCACTAATATTGGAGCTCTGTTGATGTGGTGGTAAATTCTGGGGAGGGGAGGCATTATCCAATGATTAAATCTCAGTCTTTTCATGGGCCTTTGTCCCTGGATTGTGACCTTAACAATTTTAGTAGTTGTTATTTTTTTACTTTTTCCTCTCTAGGTGAGATGGGAAGGATAGATGGGTTGGAGTTGAGTAATTGCTCTTCTCCCCAAGTCAATAAGGTTTTGGTAAAATCTTTTCTACTGTAGACTAGGCTTTGTAATAGGTAATGCACTGGGAGTTTTTCAAAATGGTTGCTACTAATGTTTTTGCTTACCTCTTCACCATGAGACCCTGGTGGAGTTCCTGGAGGTAAAAGTCTGCTACCCACACCTACCCACAATCCCAATGTCTATTCAATAGCTTTTTGGGGGAAAAAGTTGTTTTATTGATGTCAGAGAGGAAGAGAGAGAGAGAGAGAGAGAGAGAGAGAGAGAGAGAGACATCAATGATGAGAGAGAATCATTGATTGGCTGCCTCCTGCATGCCCCCAGTGATTGAGCCCGAAACACTGGCATGTGCCCTGACCAGGAATTGAACTGTGACCTCCTGGTTCATAGGTTGACGTCAACCACTGACCCACCTTGGCCAGGCTCAATAGCTTTAAAGTTCAATGAGTGACTGATTTTCTTTCCCAAAGCCATTAATTTTATCATTAAAAACAATACAAGTAAAAATGATCCATCTTTGAGTAGGATCACATCTTGTGAGAGTCAATTAAAGGAAATAACGATTATATCATTAGAGAAAAGTCTGAATGGAGATGGGACTGGTAGACACGTGTTCTTCTAGGTAGGTTAATAGAGATAACCTTTGTTAAGGAGTCAACAATCCCTCCTTTCCTTTCTGTGTCACCCTGCAGCTGGTGGAGCAGAAATACGAGCTCTTTAGTGACATCAGAGCTAGACAGGGCTACAGATCCAGTTTCTATCAGTCATTAGTCAAAAAGCCACTTCATTCACAAATCTAGTGTTGAATAATGGACCCTGGGTACTCTGTAGCAACTCTACATGTGTTGGTTGTTGATGGTAAATTTATTTTTTAAGAAGAGTTTATATTCAAACTTGGAGAGATATGAATTCCCTATCTCAGCTGTCATTTCTATCTGTGTCTCTGGGTCATATTAAATAGCCTTTCCTAATGTCATTTCTTCATTAGTAAAGAGGCAGTAATATTACCTACCACTTGGGATTTTTTGTAAGCGTTAAAGGAAATAATGTATTCAAAGTCCTCAAACTAATTCCCTGTTGTGTAGAACTACTCAATAAATATTAGGACTTTTCATAATGGATGATGTTACAGTACTTTCCCCCAAACTTCTAGAATATCTAATAGGTGCATATCCTGTAGCTGGGATCCTACAACTAAGATATTTAATAGATAAGTTATACTTGTATGAATCATTTGAGAAATCATTTGGTACATTACAAAGTACCAAAGTCTGTGTTACAAATAACAGTACTATAGACAAGGATTCTTAAAAAGACAGAATTGGGTTCTGACTAGGTGGCTCAGTTAGTTGGAGCATCATTCATACACCAAAAGGTTGTGGGTTCAATTCCTGGTCAGGGCACATACCAAGGTTGTGGGTTCAATCCTTAGTCAGGGTGCAAAAGAGAGGCAACCAATCAATGTTACTCTCTCACATCAATCTCTCTCTCTCTCTCTCTCTCTCTCTCTCTCT